CACTTCCTCCTCCCCCCCTCGCCCCTCTCCCCCTGTGTCTGTGTGTCTGTGTGTTTTGTGTCCCCTCCAGAGAGCAGGGGGTGACGATTACTTGTGTCTGTGTGTTGTGTTTCCCCTCCTGAGAGCAGGGGGCGACTGGGGCGGCGACGGGGGCGGCGACGGGGGCGCCTCCATGGGCATCCAGCTCCGATCCCGCAGGCCCGCGAGGGGCTCCAGAGTGTCTGTTTGTGCAGTCGTGTCTGCGTCTGCCTCGAGCGAGGAAGAACATGGTGGATGAAGAGGAGGGAGGAGGGAGGAGGAGGAGGAGGAGGAGGAGGAGGAGGAGGAGCAGGAAGCAGGAGGAGGAGGAGGAGGAGGAGGCAGAAGGAGGAGGCAGGAGGAGGAGGAGGAGGCAGAAGGAGGAGGCAGGAGGAGGAGGAGGAGGCAGAAGGAGGAGGCAGGAGGAGGAGGGAGGAGGAGGCAGAAGGAGGAGGAGGGAGGAGGAGGAGGAGGAGGGGGATGGCCCTCGCCGAGATAAAGTGCACACGTCCGAGCGATGCCAAGGAGAGATGGCGAGAGAACCTGGGAGCGGGCTGGAGTGGGCGGGATGCGGCGGGAGACTGCAAAGGACGGGAGGGTGGACTTGGCGGCGAGTCCGTGAGGGGAGAAGGCAGAGAGGGGACCTTGCCGCCTCAGAAGGCGGCGGGGCTTCTCACCCGCCTTCGCGGCTTCTGAAAGCCCGGCTGCGTCTTCGGGGAAGGCTCAGAAGGCTTCTAAAATTACCCCAGTGCGACCTTACCTAGAAACTGTAGCCCCTAGGACAGCAGCAGTAGTTGCTATGCTATGCTATGCTATGATATGTTATGCTATGATGTGCTATGATATGATGCGCTATGCTATGATATGCCATACTATGATATGTTGCGCTATGATATGGTATGACATGCTATAATATGCGATGTTAAGCTACGATATGACATGTTGTGCTATGCTATGATATTATATGATATGATATGTTATGCTATGCTATGCTATGGTATATTATGGTATGTTATGCTATGATATGCTGCGTTATGGTATGCTATGATATGATATAATTGGTTATGGTATGTTATGCTACGCTGTGCGAATGCAGCAATGCGCTATGATAAGCTAAGCTAAGCTAACCCTCTAGGCAGAGCCTAGGTAGGGAATTACACCCATGCTAATGATGTGCTGTGCTGTGCTGCGCTATGCTATGCTATGCTATACTATGCTGCGCTATGGAATGCTATGCTGAGCTATGCTATGATATGCTGCTGGGTTTTGCTATAGTATGCTGTGCTGCGCTGTGCTGTGCTGTGCTACGCTCTGCTATGCTATGCTGTGCTTTGCTATGCTAAAGCTCGGCGAAGCTAAGAAGAAGGTAAGCTAAGCTAAGATAAACCTGAGCCAATATTAAGTTAAGATAAGCTAAGATGAAGTAAGCTGAGCTAAGATGAGATAAGCAACGCTAAGCTAAGGGAACGTCACTGGGGGAACCGCGGAACGGATCCTGGGGGAACCGCCCGGGGCGGGGAGCACTGCCCGGCCCTTTAAGCATACAGGGTAAGAACCCTTCTAGGCAGAGCCTAGGTAGGGAATTAGGTCAGTCATGTCCCCCTACAGGCTGAGCCTGGAGGAAAACTCAAACAAAAAAGTCAAACAGTACTCCAAGATGGTCAGAATTGGTCAAAAAATCATCCCCAGACTATTCTTTCTCGGGGATCTTCTGACCAGGGTCAATCCAGACCCGGTCAGTCAGGCCTTGCAAAATCCTTCACGACCCTGCACCCAAACCCGGGCCAACGCGAAGGATCCTGCAAGATCTTGCACCCAAACCCAGGTCAATGCGACCCTGGCCCTGCAGGATCCTGCAAGATCGGGCGCTCTGGCTGACCCCCGTTTGCATGGACCCCCGTCCCGAGGCTGCCGACCTCTACTGCTTTTCAGCCTCCATCCTGCAGAGGGACCCGCCCGATCTGACCCCAAGAAGGCGGGAGGGCCTCAGACGTGCCCCGCCGCCCCCGGAGGGGGGCAGGAGGCCCGGAGGCCTCCTGGAGAGGGTCCGAGTAGATGGGGTCGAAGGATCGCGCCGCATCGCCAATGCATCGCCGATGCATCGGCGAGGCATCGGCGACCCATCGGCGACGTCGGCGATGCCTCGCCGACGTCGGCGTGGGGAAACACGGTCTCCACATCGAGCCGCATCGTCGGTGCATCGGCGACGTGGCGCGATCCTCCGACCCCATCTGCTCGGGCCCCGCCTGAGGGGCTCAGAAGGCCCTCCCCCTGCACCGGCCCCCCCTCCCGGCGCGCCGCCGAGGGGGGCCGTTGGCGGAGCAGCGGGCCCGGCGGCGGAGGTGCGCCGAGACGGGCAGCCCTCGGTCGGGAGAAGCAGGCAGGGACACGTGAAGCAGGAAGGCGCCGAAGGATGAGGGAAGGGGAGGCGGGAGAGGGGAGGAGGAGGAGGAGGAGGAGGAGGACGAGGAGGAGGAGGAGGAGGAAGGAGGGAGGAGGAGGGAGGAGGGAGGAGGAAGAGGACCTGTGTAAACCCAAGGAGTCGTCAACGATGTTGAAGCAAACCCTCCCTCCAAGCTCCCTCCTCATAGGCCCCTACAACGGTTCATGTCCAATGATGGAACTGCCTCGTTGGAACACACCCGTTGAAGACCCAGAAGCATGCCAAAACATTGTTCTCGGGATTCCAACGCCACGGATCAACCTGATTGTTGCGTCTTGACGGTCCTGAACTGCGCCAGAAAGCCATTCTTACGACTCTAGCACAGAGAACCAACGTAACTGTTGTACCCGCCAAGTCTTGCAACCTTCCAAGGCAACAATTCTAGTACGTTGATGATGGGAACCCGTGTAACTCTTGGAAATGTTGTAGGAGAATGTGCGCGGCGCCAAGGCGGGAGCCACATTGCGCAAACGATCCGCCCGCAATCGGTGAAAAACTCTTGCCATCATTTTTAAGCGAATGTGCTCCGCGCAAAGGCGAGACCCAAATTGTGAAAACCACCCGCCCTCAATACGTGGAGAAAAAACGAATGCGCGCCGAGCTAAGGCAAGAGCCACATGTTGAAAACCACCCGCCCTCAATCCGTGGAACGTTTGCAAAGTTTAAAAACGAATGTGCGCCGCGCAAAGACGAGAGCCACATTGTGAAAACGACCCGCCCTCCATCTGTGAAACTGTTGCCAAGTTGATGAGTCTACGGCGAAACGCCCGGCCCCTCCTACAAGCTTGCCCCAGTGTGCGACAGAACGAAGGTATTTGTAAGGAAAAGAAATGGAGGAGGAAGAGGACCAGTGTAAGCCCAAGTCATCAACGATGTTGGAGCGAACCCTCCCTCCAAGCCCCCTCTTCATAGGCCCCCACAACGATTCATTTCCAATGATGGAACTGCCTCGTTGGAAGACACCCGTTTGAAGACCCTGAAGCATTCCAAAACATTGTTCTCGGGAGTCCAACGCCCCGAATCAGCCTGACTGTTGCGTCTTGACGATCCTGATTCGTGCCAGAACGCCATTCCTAAGACTTCAACACAGAGACTCAACGTAACTGCTGCACCCGCATAATCCTGAATCCCTCCTACCAAAAATTCTAGTGCGCTCGTGATGGGAATCCGTGCAACTATTGCAAACTTTGAAACGAATGAGCGTCGCGCTCAAGCGAGAGTTACATATTGAAAACGACCCGCCCGCAATCCGTGAAACCCATGGTAAATTCTTAATTCGAATGTGCGCCGCACTAAGGCTAAAACACATTTTGAAAAGGAACCAGCCTCAATCCGTGAATATCTTGCAAATGTTTGCACCGAATGTGCGCCGCGCAAAGGCGAGAGCCACATTTTGAAAACCGCCCGCCCCCAATCCCTGAAACTCTAGCACTTCTTAAAACGAATGTGCGCCGCGCCAAGGCGAGAGCCACATTTTGCAAACGACCCGCCCGAGGTGAAACTCTTGCAATTGTTGTTAAACGAATGTGCTCCGCGCCAAGGCGAGAGCCACATTGTTCGAAATAGCCCGCCATCGATCCGTGAAACTCTCACAGATGTCGAAAACGAATGTGCGCCGCGCTGAGGCGAGAGCCACATTTTGAAAACCACCCGCCCTCAATCCGTGGAACTCTGACAATGCTTGAAAACGAATGTGCGCCGCGCTAGGGTGAGAACCGCATTTGAAAGCGACCCGCCCTCAATCCGTGAAACTCCTTGTAAAATCATAATACCGATGTGCGCCGCGCTAAAGCGAGAGCTACATTTTGAAAACGACCCGCCCTCAATCCGTGAAACTCTTGCAAATGTTGAAGCTTCAGAGCCAAACATGGTGAAGAAGTCTCAGGCGAAAAGCCGGGCCCGCCCTAAAAACTGGCCTCGGGGTACGAAAGGGAGAAATGATCTAGAAGGAACAAAATCGGAAGAGGAGGAGGAAGAAGGGTCTCCGCCGGCCCCCATCGATGAGGGAAGGGGGAAGCACGCTCGTTCACTGAAGCAGATAAGCGCCTGGAGTAGATTTGAATATGGGAATCCAGAAATACCTACTTTCAACGACCGATGGGTATTGGTTTATCCATGTCCGCCGCCTCGGTAGCCGACCTTCCTGAACCTCGGGAGGCAGTGGGTGTAGATCTGTTCAGGCCCCTAGAGGCCCCCATGTGTCCATGTCCACCGCCCCCTGGGGTCCAAAGACACCGGTTCCCCAGGCGTGGATATGGGCAAATCCCCGCCTCGCAGATGGGTGGAGCGAAGAAGCGAGACAAGCAAACGGGATGACAGTAGAAAGCGGGGACGGGTGAAGGGGAGGGTTGGAGGAGGCAAGGAGGAGGGCGGAGGAGGACGGGGAGGCGGAGGAAGGAAGGAACGGAGGGGGGGGAGGGAGGGACTGTTTGTCGTGACCTGAGCAACGCGCGGCCTTCAGTAAGACTCAAAATGGTGCCAACTCGCACGGCCCCGTTTGACCGCTGCCGACAGAAAAGACATCAACTCGCGAACCCCCTCAGGCTCCGTCGACCTTGGCCATGTGCTTGATCAGGTCCACGACGCGGCACGAGTAGCCCCACTCGTTGTCGTACCAGGCGACAAGCTTAACGAAAGTGGGGTCCAGCATGATGCCAGCCTTGGAGTCGAAGGTGCTGGAGATGGGGCACGTCTCGAAATCGGTGGACACGAGTGCCTCGTCGCAGTAGCCCAGGAATCCCTTCATGTCGCCCTCTGAGCGACGCTTGATCTCGGCGCAGATCTCTTCGTAGGTTGTCGCCTTCTCAAGCTCACAAGTGAGGTCCACGACGGACACGTCGATCGTAGGCACCCGGAAGGCCATGCCGGTGAGCTTGCCCGCCACCTCTGGCACGACTTTAGCCACCGCCTTGGCCGCCCCAGTCGAGGAGGGGATGATGTTGCCAGACGCGGCGCGGCCACCACGCCAGTCCTTCTTCGACGCCCCGTCCACAGTGGGCTGAGACGCGGTCATGGCGTGGATGGTGGTCATCAAACCCCGCTTGATGCCGAACGCGTCGTTGACGGCCTTCACCATCGGAGCGAGGCCGTTGGTGGTGCACGAAGCACAGGAGACGCACTCCATCTCCGACTTGTAGGTGTCCTGGTTCACGCCCATCACTATCGTGTGGCTGTCGTCCTTGGCCGGGGCCGAGAACACGACCTTTTTCGCGCCCGCCTTGAGGTGCGGCTGGATCTTCTCGCCGGTCAGGAACACGCCAGTGGACTCACAGACGTAGTCCGCACCATGGGCCGCAAAGGGGATCTCGGCCGGATCACGGGTGTGCGACAGAGCCACCTTCTTGCCATCGATCACCAGAGAGTCCCCGTCGACCTCGACAGTGCCGTCGTACCTGCCGTGGATCGAGTCGTACTTCATCTGGTACGCAAGACCCGCCACCGTGCCGTGGACACCGAGTGGAGCGTGCTCGGGCCCCTTCGAATTCTTTGTGCTGGATGTGTGCCAGCGCGGACCCCAAACAGTAAGTGGTGCGCTGTACATGTGCAAGCTATGCGTGGCCCTGTACGGTCTCCAAGACGGTCCGAGGTGCCCTCCGAGTCGGCCAGGATGGCCCAACGTGGCCCACAGACGACCTGCGAGGCCTCCTGCACGACCTACGCGGCCGCCAGAGGAACCCCAAGACGGTCCAAGATTGCCTCCAGGACGGGCAGGATAGCCTCCAAGTCGGCCATGGTGGTCCCAGTCGGCCACCAGACGGCCCAAGCCCAAGACGGCTCCAAAAGGGCCCCAGATGACCCCAATAGGCCACCACGAAGCTACCAATCGCCTCCAGCAAGCCCCACGTGGGCCCGAAGAGGCCCGCGAGAGACCACCACGACCTCCTCCTCCTCATTCTCATTCTCCTACTCCTTCTCCTCCTCCACCTCCTCCTCCTCCTCCTCCTCCACCTCCTCCTCCTCATCCTCCTCATCCTCACATCATCCTCCTCCTGATCCTGCTCCTCCTCCACCCGCTCCTCCTCCTCCTCCTCGTCCTCCTCCTCCTCCCTCCTCCTCCTCCTTCTCCTCCTCCTCCTGCTCCTCCTCCTGTTCCTCCTCATCATCCCTCCTCCTCCTCCTCCTCCTCTTCCTCTTCCTCCTCCTCCTCCTGATCCTGATCCTCCTCCTCATCCTCCTCCTCCTCCTCTTCCTCCTCCTCCATTCCTTCTCCTTATACATAACTGTTCCCTGTCGCATCCCGACGCCAGTGTTTAGGGCGGGCCGGCCGTTGTGCCTGCGCCTTTCTCACCATTCATGACTCTGAAGCCAGAAAAAGTGGCAACAGCTTCACAAGTTGAGGGCGGGTCCTTTTCAAAATGTGTCTCTCGCTTTCGCGCGGCGCACATCTGTATTAAAACTGTGCAAGAATTTCACGGATGGAGGGCGAGTGGTTCTGAAAATGTGGCTCTCGCTTTAGCACCGCACACATTCGCATTAAAATGTTGCACAAGTTTCAGGGATTGAGGGCGGGTGGTTCTCAAAATGTGGCCCTCGCCTTAGAGCCGCGCAGTCGCCTTACAAATCTGCAAAAAAATCCCGGATTGAGGGTGGCACCTCTTCAAATTGGGGTTCTCGCCTTAGCGCCGCGAACATTCGTCTTAAACTGTTTCAAGAATGTCACGGAGTGAGGGCGGTTCCTTTTAAAAAATGCGGCTCTCGCCTAAGCGCCGCGCACATTCGTCTTATTCGTTTAGCAAGAATTTCAAGAATACCCACGATCAACGTACCATAACAATTGTGTTGGAAGGATTCAAACAAATTAGAGAGCACAAGTTATGTTGATTCGTGGCGTTCAAATCCTAGGAATGGCGTTCTGGCACGATTCAGGGAACAATGTCTTGGCATGATTCAGGGTCTTCGAACAGTTGCCTTCAAACGTGGCAGTTCCCTCCGAATAGAAACCTCTGTAGGCGCCTATGAAGAGGAAGCTTGGAGGAAGTGTGTATTCCAACATCGTTGATGCCTCTTGAGCTTACACTGGTCCTTCTCCTCTTCCTGCTCCTCCTCCTCCCTCCTCCTCTTCCTCCCCCTCCTCCTCCTCCTCCTCCTCCTCCTCCTCCTCCTCCTCCTCATGCTCATCCTCATCCTCCCTCCTCCTTCTCCTGCTGCACCTCCTCCTCCTCCTCCTCCTCCTCCACTTCCTCCTCCTCCTCCTCTTTCTCCTCCGTTCCCTCCTTCTCCTCCTGATCTCCCCTCCTCCTCCTCCTCCTCCTCCTCCTCCTCCTCCTCCTGATCCTGCTCCTCCTTCTCCTCCCCGCTCCTCCTCCTCCCTCGCCTCCTCTCCCTCCTCCTCCTCCTCCTCTCCTCCTCCTTCTGCTCCTCCTCCGCCTCCTCATCCTCCTCCCTCCTCTCCTTCCTCTCTCCTCCTCTGCTCCTCCCCTCCTCCTCCTCCTCCTCCTCCTCATCATCCTCATCATCATCATCCTCATCATCATCATCATCATCATCATCATATTCATCATCATCATCATCATCAGCATCATCATCATGATCATGATCATGATCATCATCATCATCATCATCATCATCATCATCAGTATCATCATCATCATCATCAGCAGCAGCATCATCATCATCATCAGCATCATCATCATCAGCAGAATCATCATCATCCCCCATCCCTCCTCCTCGTCCTCCTCATCCTCTTCCTCCGCATCATCATCATCACCATCATCATCATCATCATCAGCAGCAGCAGCAGCACCATCATCAGCAGCATCGGCATCATCAGCATCAGCATCGTCGTCATCATCATCAGCATCGTCAGCATCATCAGCATCATCATCATCAGCAGCAGCATCATCATCATCATCATCATCATCGTCATCGTCATCGACATCAGCATCATCATCAGCATCCGCATTATCATCATCATCATCATCACCATCATCATCATCATCGGCATCAGCATCCTCATCAGCATCAACAGTAGCAGCAGCAGAATCATCATCAGCATCATCAGCATCATCATCAGCATCAGTAGCATCATCATCATAAACAGCATGGTCATCGTCATCGTCATCGGCATCAGCATCATCATCAGCATCCGCATCATCATCATCATCATCATCATCAGCATCATCATCATCATCATCATCATCATCATCATCATCGGCATCATCATGGTCAGCATCAGCAGCAGCAGCAGCAGAATCATCATCAGCGTCATCAGCATCATCATCATCAGCATCAGCATCATCAGCATCAGCATAAGCATCAGCATCATTATCAACAGCCGCATGATCATCATCAGCAGCACCATCAGCACCAGCATTAGCAGCAGCATTATGATCATCATCATCAGAAGCAGTATCAGCATGATAAGCGTCAGCATCATCAACATCATCACCAGCATCATGATCATCATCACCATCCTCAGCATCATCATCATCGTCAGCAAAATCATTATCTTCATCTTCGGTATCAGCATCAGCATCACCATCAGCATCACCGTCATCAACACCAACATCGTCATCATCAGCAACATCAGCATGATCATCATTATCATCATCAGCATCAGCAGCATCAGCATCAGCATAGGCATCAGCATAATCATCATCATCGTCAGCATCAGCATCATCAGCATCATGATCAGCCTCATCATCATCATCATCAGCATCATCATCGGCAGCATCAACATCAGCATCATGCTCAGCATCCTCATCATCATCGTCATCAGCAGCATACTCGTCATCGTCAGCGTCATAAGCATCATAATCACCATCAACATCAACATCATCATAAACGGAATCATATTCATGTGCATCATGAACAGGATCAGCATCAGTATCATCATCATTACCATCATCTGCAGCATAGTCATCATCAGCATCAATATCAGCATCAGCATCAGCAGTATCAACATCATCAGCAGCATCAGCATAACCAGTATGAGCATCAGCATCAGCATCATCATCATTAGCATCATCGTCACCAGCACCATCATCATCATCATCATCAATATCAGCATCATCTGCATCATCAGCAGCATCAGCATCAGCATCACCATCAACATCATCAGCAGCATCAGCAGCATCATCAGCATCATAATCATCAACAATATCAACATCAGCATCAGCATCAGCTTCCTCATCCTCATCAGCATCCTCATCATCCTCCTCTGCCCTCAACCCGCCCCAAGTGATCCCCCTACGAGTTCGACATCGGCTGGGGGACCGCATATGCCAGTAGCTTGGCCATGCTTGGCCCCAACGATTGGGCCACATCGGCATCTCCAGAAAGGAAGGAGGCGGTGGTGACTCACTGCAGGCGTCTTCGATTCGCCGCCGCCGCAGCAGCTTGCGAGAGGGGTGCTGGCGTGTCAGATTACGGAGCTTCCACCGCTCCTTCGGGATAAATGCCAGGCCGTCTCTGGCCCAGCGCGCCGACCACCCAGAACTGGCCCAGAATCGACCATAACAATGGGCCGAGACGTCATCAACCCTTTCTCCATGCGAGGCGACTGATCATATGAGCATCCTGTACGAAAGAGCACACGGCCGCAACACATGTGCAGCACTCCGAAACTCTTCCGCCGAGCCACCGTGGGGCCGGCCGCCCCTCCCACCGTCGCAGCGTCGATCGCAGGAGGAACGGCGACGACAAGTACAACCTTGAGAACAGAACGGGGAACAGAGGAGGAGGAGGAGGAGGAGGAGGAGGAGGAGGTGGAAGAGGACGGGTGAAGCAAGGTAACGACCCCAGAGGGAGCCGCGAGGTCTAGTCCGGATGCACGCGGCACTCCACTCCGCTGGATCTCCCAGCTGGACCTCCACGGGGCCTGCGAACGTGACGACAGTATTGCGCAGTTCGCAGGCCCCAACAGAGCCGCGACGTCTCGCCTGGATGTGCCTCAAATCCATTCCGCTTAACCTCCGTGGATCCCATGAATTTTGCGACACGCGCGCAGTTCACAGCCCGCCAGTGAGCCCCGAGGTTTCGCCTAGGTGCCCGTGACACTCCACTACGCTGGATTTCCCATGAGCCCACGACAGTGGCGACGGTTGCGCAGGTTGCCAGCCCCCCAAAGAGCCGCGAGGTCTCGCCTGGGTGTGCGTGCCCTTAAGTCCGCTGGACCACCCATGAGCCTACAGAATTGGCGACGATTGCGCAGGTGGCGGACCCCCAAGGAGCCGCGATGTCTCGCCCGGGTGTGCGTGAATACCCTCTCCGCTAAACCTCCCAGGAGCCCACGAAAATGGCGACGATTGCGCAGATCGCAATACCCACTGGAGCCGTGAGGTCTCGCCCAGGTGCGAGTGACCACCCACCCCGCTGGACTCGCAGGAGCCCAAGAAAGCGGCAACCGTGTGCAGTTCGCAGCCCCCCCAGGGCGCCACGAGGTCTCGCATGGATATGTGCGTCGCTACCCACTCCGCTGGACCTCAGGGAGCCGACGAACGTAGCGCCACGTGCGCAGCTTGTCAGCACCCAAAGGAGCCGCGAGGTCTCGCATGGGTGCGCGTGACCATCTATCCCGCTGAACCTCCCAGGAGCCCACGAAAGTGGCGGCACTTGGGCAACTCGCGCCCCCCCCAGGGTGACGCGAGGTCTCGCCAAGGTGCGTGTGACTACCCGCTCCGCTCGCAGGAACCCACGAAAGTGGCGAAAGTGCCAGCCCCCCAGTTGAACAGATGGGAGGAAGGGAGGCGAGGATGCACGAGGGGAAGAGGGCTGAGGAGGAGGAGGAGGAGGAGGAGGAGGACGACAAGGAGAAGAAGAAGCATTAATCATAGGAAGAAGAATAATCATAATAAGACGAGTAATAAGGAAGCATATGGATGAGACGCGACCCGAATACTACATTCTAAACTAGAACCTAACACGGGCGGGCTGGGAATGAAATAAGCCCAAGAGGGCATCAAAGAAGACCCCCAGACGCTCACAAGACGGCCAATATGGCCCGCCTCAAGAGATGCCTCCAAGAAGGCCCCAGATGGCCCCAAGATGGCCTCGAGACGGTCCAAGAAGCCCCCAAGACGCATAATCTGGCTCCAATAGGAACTCCACGAATCAGCCAGGATGCCATAATCCGCCGACCCCTTGGGGATCATCGGCGTGTGAGATGCTTCCCCCTCCCCAAACCCCTCCCCCGGGAGCCCGGTCCGGTCGATTTGGAGGGGGGGGGGGGGTCCGGGACGAGCGGTTCAGGGGGGGGGGGGTCCGGGACGAGCGCTCCACGGGGCTTTTCCTGGCCCAAGAGGGCTTCAAGACGGGCCACGAAGCCCCCAAGAGGCCTCCAAGACGGCCCACGAAGGCTCCGAGAAGCCAAACGACCGCTCCAAGACGCCCACGATGGCCCCAAGACGGGCCAAGAGGTCTCCAAGACGGCCCCTGAGGTCCCAAATGAGCCTCCCAAGAGGGCCCAAAGAGTCAAAAATTGATGATTTTCCAGTGTTTTTCGATGTTTTTTGCTTTTCCGCCTTTCGGCTTCCCGACGCTCCAAGACGGGCAAAGAGGCCCCAAAGATAGCCCCAAGATGGCCCAAGAGGCCCCCAAGACGGCCTCCAGACGGCCCAGGACGGCCCCAAGACGGCCCAAGAGGTCCTCAAGACGGCCCAAGAGGGCCGATTTGGAGGGGGTGAGAAGGCCGGGACGAGCGCAGCACGGCCGGGACGAGCGGTTCCAGGGCTTTTCCGGGCCCAAGAGGGCCTCAAGACGGGCCAAGAAGGCTCCAAGAGGCCTCCAAGACGGCCCACGAAGGCTCCGAGACGCCAAACGACGCCTCCAAGACGCCCAAGATGGCCCCAAGACGGGCCAAGAGGTCTCCAAGGCGGCCCCCGAGGTCCCATACAAGTCTCCCAAGAAGGCCCCAAGAGTCTAAAATTGTTGATTTTCCATAGTGTTCTTCGACGTTTTTTGCTTTTCCGCCTTTCCGGCTTCCCAACGCTCCAAGACGCGCGACGAGGCCCCAAAGATAGCCCCAAGATGGCCCAAGAGGCCCCCAAGACGGCCTCCAGACGGCCCAGGACGGCCCCAAGACGGCCCAAGAGGTCCTCAAGACGGCCCAAGAGGGCCGATTTGGAGGCGGGGAGGGGGCCAGGACGAGCGCAGCACGGCCGGGACGAGCGGTTCCAGGGCTTTTCCGGGCCCAAGAGGGCCTCAAGACGGGCCAAGAAGCCCCCAAGAGGCCTCCAAGACGGCCCACGAAGGCTCCGAGACGCCAAACGACCCCTCCAAGACGCCCAAGATGGCCCCAAGACGGGCCAAGAGGTCTCCAAGACGGCCCCCGAGGTCCCAAACAAGCCTCCCAAGAGGGCCCCAAGAGTCTAAAATTGTTGATTTTCCATAGTGTTTTTCGATGTGTTTTGCTTTTCCGCCTTTTCGGCTTCCCGACGCTCCAAGACGGCCAAAGAGGCCCCAAAGACAGCCCCAAGATGGCCCAAGAGGCCCCCAAGACGGCCTCCAGACGGCCCAAGACGGCCCCAACACGGCCCAAGAGGTCCCCAAGACGGCCCAAGAGGGCTCCAAGACGGCACCACGAGGGGCCCAAGAGGGCGACCAAACATGTTGAAACTCTAGCTTTCTGCCCCCAGGAGCCCCAGGGGGCCCCAAGAGTGCCCCAAGAGGCCCCCAGAGGCCCTCACGAGGCCGCCCAGACGCCCCAAGGAACCCCCAAGAAGCACCCCAGAGGCTCCGAAACGGCCCCCGAGTGGCTCCAAAACTCGCAGTGTCGCTGTCCGCTCGGATCTCCCCGCGGAACTGCCCGAGACCCTCTGGCGGTGGCGGCGAACAGACACCAAACAAATATCACTCGCATTTTCACCCCTTCGCAGCTTCTACTACCACCAGATTGGCATAAACAAGGGGTCGGCGGTGTGGCGTAAGCCTAAGAATCAATTGTTTTCAGCGATCTCGCCGTTCCGGCTTTGGATAGACCAAGGCGGCCCAAGAGGCCCCAAAGATCGCGCCAGGAGTGCTTCCAAGAGGGCTCCGAGAATGCGCAATGTGGCCCCAACACGGCCGCAAGACAACCCCAAGGCCAAGATGGCCCAGGGGAGTCCCAAGATAGCCCTAACGAGCCCCAAGATCCCCAAGACGGCCCAGATAGAGAGCTCCCTGCGAATGTCAAAGAGAGCCCCAACGTGGCCGAAGAGAGCATCTCGAAGGCCCCAATGGTCCCAAGAGAGCCCCATACGATCCCAAAGAAGACTGCAGAGGTCCCCTCCCCGAATTGCTTTCCCCAATCGCTGGGGGAGCACGCAGTCCACTGGCCGCGCCCTCGCTCGACATTTCACCACGCGGGCGCTTCCAACAGGCCGGGTGCGCCGGTGATCCGCCGCAGGCGTCTTCGATACTCCGCATCGTAGCTTGCGTTCACCAGCTTGAGCTCCGTCTCCGGGTCCTTCATGACGATGCGGGCCACCTGAGCGACGGGAGGACAGAGGCCCAACGCGAGGTGACACAGCGACCTTACGCGCTAGCTGCCGCGGGCCGCCAGCGCGGCACGCCGCACCCCACGCGGAGGCACTCACGCGCGACCCCACGCAGGCAGCTTACGCGCCGGAGTCGGCGCAGACGACTCCTTTCTGTCGTCCCGCTCACCTGGCGCCCGATGCGCCCGAAGCCGTTGATGCCGACCCCGACCGCCTGCCTTGCCACCTCAGGAGGACGCCAACTGCACCCCTTTGCCGATCGCCACCCTCATCGAGGCGGCGAGCTAGAGGGGCCCAGGAGAAGGCCTTCTCAGAAGGCCGCGGGACGTCTCAGAAGCCCTCGCGCCTCCCCAGACCTCTCCCGGGGTGCGTTCTGACCAGGATTTCGAGGCGAATCCAGCGCTGGCGACGAGGGCCTCCCAGGAGGCCCACCAGAGGTGAAGGTATGGGTACATACTCCTCCTCTGAATTCCGAGGCGAACCCAGCGGTGGCGACGAGGGCCTCCCAGGAGGCCCAAACAGGGGACAACGAGAGACGGGTGGCGGTATCGATGCCTGCTCCGGCCGAGGCCTCCGAGGGAACTCTCCCAGCGCCGAGGCCTCCGAAGGGAGGCCCGTGCGGAGGCCCGCGAAGTAGAGCCGGCGCATATCAGAAGGATGCGCGACAAGGATGTGAGCGCCCCCAGTGAGAAGCTCTGCGAGCGGGGCGCGGCCAACGAAAGCGGCCGAGGATGGACCGAGGAGGAAAGGATGCAAGCGTACCCTGAGGTTCTTAATGAGCGTGGGGGGGTACCCCCCGATGGGGTTCAACCTCGCCTCGTCGTCGCGTGGCTACGGGGGTTGGAGCGCTTTCGGCGCGCGGTGGCTGCCCGCGACGGGGGTCGATGCGGGGCTGTCGGCGGGGGTCGACGCTCATTCAGAAACTCGGAGTACCCTTGGGAAGGTTGCCCATCCTTGCTATGCGGGTTGACTGTGCTGGTGCCCAAGGCCAGCGCCCACTCCACCAGCGCTTACACTTCCGACGGCTGTTGCGTGTTTCGGACCGTCTCGAACCATCCCGACCCCTTCCACAAGGGGGTCCTGGGACGCACAAATGGGGAGCCGAACTCTCTGTACACCGCCGCTGTTTCCAGCCCTGTACTGAGATGTGCACAAGAGGCGGATCCTGGAGTGTACGGAACCCTGGTGCATACATGCTTCGTGGCGTCCCCGGGAAAGCGGGGAACATAAATGTACACCACACCACCCCGACGTCGTCCCCGACCCTCAAAAAGTCCTGGGATTAAAAGAAGCACGCCACTGGTAATGTACATGTTCCAATTTCCTAATTATCACATACTAGTACTATGTGTCATCCTTTGACGCGCACGTCCGACCCGAACATGTAGTACTTCCACAGGAGGTAATGCGACGCACAACGACATACTAAGACCACATGTCTCCCTCGGAGGTGCGCGTCCGACCTGAACATCCAGCCCAACCGTTTTGTAGTATACCATGTCCCGAGCGGCATGGCCAGAAAGCGCCCGCCACGAAACATACTACTATAACACTTCTCGGTGCGCACGTCGCCCCTCGAGGAGGGGGGACGACTCACTCACACACACACATACATAGCACGCCCCTGGGGGGGGGGGCTCACACACTTTTGCGTCGGCGGCTGGGCAGAGGGCGACTGCTCCGCCGGCGTCGGCAACTGGGCAAAGTTATGACCGCAGTGCACGGAAGGAGAGCCCTGGCGCGACGGGGAGAGAGGAAGCCGTGCCACTCAGAGCTGCCGGCAGCGGCGGGGAGCGCCGGAGGGGGGAGCAGCACCGGCACAGGCTCTAAGCGCGACTCACACACACACACACTTTTGATCCGCGGGTCGAGAGCGCACCTCACTCACACACACACACACACATAGCACGCCCCTGGGGGGGGGGACTCACACACACACACACACACACATCACTGGGGGGTAATGTCCCCGCCCAGGGCCCATGCTCGGTTCGGCGGCGAGCGATGGAGGGAGGTGGGAAGGGGGGGGCCTTCTCTCAGAGGGCTGGGAAGCCTCCGTCCTTCTGAGAAGTGCTCTAAGCCTTGCCCGAAGACACTGAAGACTCCTCAAAGGCACGGGGGCTTCTGAGAAGTCCTGCCGCCTTTTGAGAAGGCCTTCTCTTTTTCACTTCCCTCTCGAGCTCCCCGCCGATTGGTGGCCCCCGAGTCCGAAGACGGCCCCCAGGGGCCGAAGTGGAGGCGGAAGAGCGCCCAGATTGAGACAAGTCAGTGCGCCCGAAGTCCAAGTACACGTCTGCCCGCCCTCCGCGACTCTCTGGTGGCGCAGATCGCTCGACCTTCCCCGACTCTGGGCCACGACAGCCTTCAGCCCTGAACGCTGCGCTGCGGTCGCCGCTAGGTCCACACCTGCCCTGCGGCGCCCCCCCGGGTACACGTCGGTCGGAAGAAGTAGGTACAAAACATGAGGTAGGAAGGCGCAGGAAGTAGGTTGATTATACTGGGCATCCGCCCGCCCTCTGAAGGGGAAGGAACAGGGAAAGCCACTCGAACTTTGAAGTAGGAAGGCGGCTAAAGTAGATGTTGGGATGTCTGGGAATCGAAAAGACCTTCCTCATGCTCCTCCTCCTCCTCCTCCTCCTTTCCTCCTCCTCCTCCTCCTCGTCCTCGTCCTCCTCCTCCTCCTCCTTCTCCTCCTCCTTGCAACGACCGACGGGTACACTGCCCAGCCCCAGGGCCGTCCTGGGCACATTGGCATGGCGTCTGCAGCAGGAGCTCGAGCACGAGAAGCCTTTCACAAGAAACCCAAGCCTGAGGCCCCAGGGCGTCCCTTGATTTCTGGTGTGGGATAGTCGCGCGCTCATATCAGAACCCCAGGGCACCCTGGAGGTACGCAGGGTGTTCCTGGCATGGATTTCCACTGTACGCCCTGTCCTGCCCAGCACTCCGGGTCATGACAAAATCGCAGCGTCGATCCCCAGATGTCTCGGACCCTTCCCAGGGACCGATGTCTCATCCGAAGTGGTTTTGCGACGGCCCCAGGGCCTGGCAAGGCCCCCTGGCAGCTGCTGGAAAGCACCCCGAGGCTGGAGAACCACTGAGGATCTGGATCACCTAACTTCGCGCATCACACCCCGATACGCGACGCGCGGTTACATTTGCCCCCTTGTGAGGCCATCTTCGAGAAGGGCACCTCTCTGGCCGAGAGCCGCGTCGCGCGAAGCGCGATGATCATCGCACCACCGGGGGTGACTTACCGACGAGTAGACGTCCTCGGACCTCGAGCCTCGAACATCGGATTTCCTGTTGGTTCTTCGGGGAACCACGTCTGTCCCATTCACGTCGAAGCCATGTCGAGCCAATGTCGAACGCGTACCATTCACCTCGGCTGTCCCATATTCGCGCCAGTCATCCGTGTCTCATTGACGTCGAATCCATGACGAACGCGTCGAATACGTGTCGAGCCTGGGTCAGATCCACGTCGAATTCACGTCGAACCCACGCCAAACCCACGTCGGAGTATTGTCGAGCCTAGGACATAGTCACATCCTTCAAACACACGACCCTCCGATGGACAACACGCACAGAACATCCGAGGGTACCCTCCCCAGGAAGCACAAGAGCACCCAACAGACGCGAAGAACGTTAGGGCATCCTCCCCGAACCGACCTCGATCTTATACCTCGGCCCGACTGTACGATAGAAGACTGCGGCTTGCAGGACAGGAATGGTCCCCCGAGGATGCGACAGGACAGACCGCCGAGCAGAGCACGGCCCGACGCGCGTCTTCGCGGGAGAGCGGGAGATGGCCGCCGCCAGAGCAGGCTCCCGTGAGGCCCCCCGAGGCCCCAAAGAGGCCCCCAGGAGGCGCAGAAGGCCCTTCCAAGAGGCCCCAGGAAGAGGCCCCCGAGAGGCTTCAAAGGGGTCCCAGAAACGCCGCCACGAGGCAGCAGCGAGGCCTCCCGGGAGGCCCCCCCGAGAAGCCTCCTAGAGAGGCGCCCTGTCCACGACCAAGCTTAGCCCCAGGAATGCCCCAGGAAGCCATCGAGAGGCCTCCTCCTCCTCCTTCTCCTCCTTCTCCTCCTCCACCTTCTCCCCTCCTCCTCCTCCTTCTCCTCCTCCTCCTCCTCCTCCTCCTCCCTGTCTACGCTGCGGGGGTTGGTCCCAAGGGAGGGGTTTAAAGCTCGGTCGTCAGTGTGAGGCTCCGTCACGGAAAGGTTTGGAGATTTTGGCGGTGTTCAGGAAGGGATACTGCCCCAACCCGAGAGTTCGGGCTGCCCTTGATCGTGCGGTCCCGCTCGTGAGGCTTGGCCTGACCGCCGCCCCTCCTGAGCCAGATGCTCCCACCGTGGTACGAACCTCACACTCCAGCTCGCTGACGGCCCCCTCCTACGAGCAGCGTATGTCAGCCTTGTGTGAGAGGATTCGTCTCAGGGAACAGGCCGCAGCGGCCAGGTCCCGTTGCTAAGTGTCCGTTTTACTGGGGTTCGACTCCCCCTCAAGCTTTTGGAATTTAGCCCTGCTTCTTTCCAGTTTAGTGCTGTGCACTCCCCTTCGGGTCTGTTCTTCTTCTTCCTCCTCCTCCTCCTCCTCCTCCGCCGCCTCCTCCGCGGCCACGTGCGTGGCAAAGCATCAGAATGCAGCAGAATCCGCCTCCGCATCCTCCTCCTCTTCCTCCTCCTCCTCCTCGCTCGCTCGCTCGCTCGATCGCCACGAGCACGCCGACGTATAGCACCAGCCCGACGCGCCTTAGCGGATGCGCGGCGGCGGTTCGCGGCTGCGCCCACGGCGCCCGCGGCCACGAGCGAGCACGCGGCGGCCGCGAAACCGCCCGCGCCCGCGGCCGGCCCCTCGGCGCGCGGCTCGGCGGCAGCGCGTAGGGCGGGCGGGGCGCCGCGGAGGGCCTGCGGAGGGGTAACGTCATGGGGGGGTGAGGGGGAGGGGGAGAAGGAGGAGGAGGAGCTTGAGGAGGAGGAGGAGGAGGAGGAGGAGGAGGAGGAGGGAGGAGGCGGAGGTGGAGGAGGAGGAGGGGGAGGAGGAGGAGGAGAAGGAGGAGGGAGGAGGCGGAGGTGGAGGAGGAGAAGGAGGAGGAGAAGGAGGAGGAGGAGGAGGAGGAGGAGGAGGAAGAGGGAGGAGGCGGAGAGAGGAGGAGGAAGAGGAGGAGAAGGAGGAGGAAGAGGAAGAGGAGACCAGTTCAGGGGGCGAGGACATCGATCTGGAGATCGACACGAGGTCGACGCTGGTCGACGCTGCATCGGCGCTGCCGCATCGATTGCCAAACGCTGGCGCACGCCAGAGCCCTCTGAAGTCGGAATTGCGAGGGCACGCAAGGTCCACGCTTTGCGACCGAAGGGGGGGGGCTGGCTCAGGGGGGGAGGACATCGACCTGGAATCGGCGACACATCGCCGACAGATCGGCTGCAGGCTCCCACATAAAGCCACTAATCCCGGGCTGCAGGGGGGGGAGCCTCCATCGGGCCCTTATCGTGCACTGGCGGGACTGGGTCTAATAGGACCTGGTTTTCGACGCCTCCTCCGCCCGCGGGGGTGGCGGGGGGGGGGAAGGAAACATCGAGGAACATCGACCGGAGCGACGAAAAGAAAGGGGTCTTGCGCGAGACGTCATGGCGACCTTACGCGGCGGCTTACGCGGGCCGCCAGCGCGGCGCGCCACACGGGGCGCTTACGCATCACCTGACGCGGGCAGCTCACGCGCCGGCGCCACTGCCCGCGTTTCTGCGTTGGTCACCTGGAATCGGCGATACATCGCCGACTGATCGGCGACAGGCCCCCCCACAGCGAGACCACATGCTGCTGGGCGGCGAGGGGGGCTGTCATCGGGCCCCCTATCGTCGATCAGTGGTCAGGCAATCGCAAGCATGGATTAGCAGCGCGTGGCTTGGAGACACGTCCCGCTTCCGTACAGGATCGGCGCGCTCCGTCGCCAAATCAGGCAGCCTTGGCCTCTCACGTTTCGGGGGTGCCTTCCCGATCCATGGATCTGGCGCCAACGAGCCAGATCCACGGACCCCTAAATCCATGTCAGCTCGCCCCCGAAAGGAACGATCGGGGGCCGATGCAGCCCCAAGAGCCGATCCACCCCAAACGCTCCGAGGCGCAGCTGCCCGGAGGCACCCCGAGGTTGGAGAGCCGCCGAGAGCCGACGGAAACGTCCGAAAACCTCGAACTTGTGAACGTTCTCTTACTCGGCGTCTCGACGTCGGGCGGAAGGGGGGCGTGGAAGGGGGGGGGAAGGGCTGGCTCCAGACCTCTGCTTAACGCGACTGTTTGCAGCAGTGCGTCCTATGGGGGAGACTCCACGTGCTTGAAACAAGCGCCAAAAAAACAGCCAATATCTACTTCGAGGGGGGGGGGGAACGGGGTGCGAGGGCCGGCGCCGATCGGGCGATCCGGGGTCGATGCATCCCCCCCTGCGGATGTGCCCCACCCCTCACGTCAGGTCGGGCATGTCCTCCTCCAGGCGGATGTTGGAAGAGACCTGGACAAGACTCAAACAAATTTCCAAATAGTACAAGAAAAACTCGCCCCCAGACTACTTTCTACTGTTTTTGAATATTCCCCTGGTTGACCCCAAATGGGGTCCTGCGAGAAGGGGGCGGTGCAAGGCAGAATAGATGTGTTGCAATAGATTTGTGGGGGTGCGAATGAGTTGGGGTGTGCAATACATTTCTGGGCGCAGATGTATTGCTGGACTTTCGCGTGCAATACATTAGTTGCACTACACATGCAAAACAACTCTCTTGCGCAAGGCATCTGCAATACGATTGCCCCACATCTATTGCACCACCCCCTTTCAAACTAAATCCTCGATTTAGATGAAGACAAAACGCCATAGGCATAAACCTTTGCCGCACCGCGCGGATTTCTTGCATCCGCGCTGGACCCCCCTCCCTGGCGCGCGGAGCGCGCCAAGAGCGGCGCCAGAGGCGCCGCCGGGGGGCCCAGCGCGGGTGCAAGAAATCTGCGCGGAGCGCCAAAAGTTTATGTTCATGGCGTGCTTTCCTCGTCGACTGTTGGGTCACGAGGAGCTCCTCCTGTAGAGGGGCATGCCCGACTTAACCCTCGGGGGGCGGCCAAAAGGAGGGCGTCCAAGAGGGGGGGGGGGGGGGCGCAAACCATGGCCGGCGGCATGTGCGCGGCCCCTGGGGGGGGGGGCCAGGGACGTGATGAAATAAGAAGAGGCGCCATGACATCTGGGGAGATATCATGGCCCCCGCCACGATATTTTGGACGCCCGAAATGGGTGCGGAAAGAATGGGTACAATGCTCAACAACAAATGTTGTCCCAAACCAACAGCGGCCGCTGTTGGGCAGGCGGCCTTCTGTCTCGAATGGACACAGGCCGCGGCGGCGTGGACAGCGAATCCTGTTCACAATGAACAAGAACTGCTGTTGAGCATTGTACCCATTCTTTCCGTGCCCATCTCGTTCGTGCAGAGATATACACCCCCTCCTCGTCGTCACCCCCCTCTGTGCCGCCCCCGAGGCCCTCACGCCGCCCCCCCCCCCCCCCCGGCCTGCGCCGCGGGGGCGCCCGCGGCGGCGAAGCAGGGCGCGGCGTCGCAGAGCGCCATGGTGCGGGCCGCGGGAGGGCGCCAACGAGTCGGCCCCCCTCTGTGGGGGCCGCCTCTGCGGCTTGCTCGCGTCGCGTGGCGACCTCGGGCGTCTCGGCCTGCTTGGCGGCGCGCTCAGGGCCGGGAGGGGAGGCTCTCGACTCTTATCGTTCGGCCTCGGGGTATCTACCAATCATGTTTCGGACGGGAAAAAACTTGGACGGGAGGCTCTGGACTTCTGTTCGGCCTCGGGACAGTGACTACTTATGTTTCGGAGGGGCAAACAAAAATCAGGTCGGGAGGTTCTTGACTACTTTTCGGCCTCTGGGGCCCTCGCCGGGCCCCGGGACCGTCAAACAACGATTCCAATTGGAAAACCGGCCCCCGGGGAGTGGGTCGGGACTCCGGAGGGACCCACGTAGTTCGAAAATCCGAACGTCGCAGGTCTGGGAAGGCGGAGGGGGTAAAGCTTCTTCGAAGGAGGCTGCTTCTTAGAGGGCGCCAGCCTTACATGTCTAGACGAGGCCCGCGCCTTCCAGGAAGCAGGGGTGCTTCGAGGAAGCCTTCCCCCCTCCCCCATGCCCCCGTCCGCGCGAGGCCGAGGCTTCTGAGACACCACGGGAATCGTTCACCCTCGCACAATCGGCGGTGTCCGAAACTTCAGATCGTTCACCATCGAGGAGGAGGAAGAGGAGGAGGAGGAGGAGGAGGAGGAGGAGGAGGAGGAGGAGGAGTTCTACGGGGGAGAGGCGGGGCTCACTTCGCTCGGGCGGTCTCGAGCGAAGTGAGCCCCGCCTCCCCCCGCAGAAATTGTAGGGTGCTGGGGTACAGGTTCGCATGTGGCCTCCCAGCTGGCGGCCCAGAGTCGGTCGATGTTGACCGATCTGAAGTCTCGGGCGCCGCCGATCCTGCAAGGGTAGGTGCGGCTTCTCAGGAGCACTCCCACCAGCGGCGTGCAACGCTGAACGCCAGCGGCGGGGTCGCCACCGCTCGACGCGACGCGAACCCATCTCGCATGGTACATGCTCGTGCCGTGGCGGCCCCGAGGCTCGAGGCGAGTGACTTCCTCGGCCCCCCGCGGCTCCGTTCCAGGCCCCCCCCCCGGGGCGCGTTCAGGCGACTGCTCGGGGGGGGCACAAAGGCGCGGGGTGGGGGGGGGGGGGGGGGGGCAAAGGTGGGGTTGGAAGGAAAGTCGCCCCAGACGGCCCCTGGAAGAAGGAAGCGCGTTACACGGGAGCATCTGGCTGGGCGCTGGGCCGGTTCCCCAGCCCCACTTTGGGTGACCCAAAAGGGTATCCAGCTGAAAGGGAGTGGTGCAATAGATTTGGGGCAAGCGTATTGCAAATGTATTGCGCCGGAGAGTTGTATTGCCTTGTATTGCAAGTAATGTACTGTGCGCGAAAATACAGCAACACATTTGCGCCCCGAACATATTGCACGCCCCAGATGTACTGCAACCCCAAGAATCTATTGCACCCAATCTATTGCACCACCCCCTCGTCGCTGGACCCCCTTGTGGGTCAACACGACCCGCCTTGGGATAACCCTCCCTCTGCGACCCACCGACCTGCGCCCCGCCGAGAGCGCTCTGGAGGCTCCTGCATCGTCACGAGTGGCCGGCAGGGGCCCCAGTCACAGTGGAGGCCAGCCCACAAGAACCCTTCCACAGGAAGCGCAAGCCTGAGACCCCAGGACGGCCACAAATTCTCGGCGTGGGGGCGTCACGCTGTCCCATGAGCAAGACCATCGAAACCCAAGAAACCCAAGGCACCCTGGATAGAGACCTAGATGGGGTACGAGTAGATTGGTCGGAGGATCTGGCCAGATCGCCGATGCATCGGCGATGCACCAGCGATGCACCAGCGATGTCGGCGCTCCATCGGCGACGTCGACGTGAAACAAATCGGGCCCCACATCGAGCCGCACCGGCGATGCATCGGCGATGCGGCGCGATCATCCGGCCTCATCTACTCCGACCCCATCTAGGAGGCCTAGACTGGAGGCAAGCAGGGTGTTTGTTTCTGGACGCCCGAAATGGGTGCGGAAAAGTTGGTACAATGCCGAACAACAAGTGTTGTCCCAAACCAACAGCGGCCGCTGTTGGGCAGGCGGCCTTCTGTCTCAAATGGACACAGGCCGCGGCGGCGCGGACAGCGAGTCCTGCTCAAAATGAACATGAACTGCTGTTGGGCATTGTACCCATTCTTTCCGTGCCCACTTCGTTCGTGCAGATTCTTGGCATGGGTCTCCTCTGCATGGCCCGACGACCTCGGGGCCTGGGCGCGCCCTGAGATCCTGGCGCTGCACCTCCCTGCACGACGGGCGGTGAG